ATACATGAAGGTATAGGCAAATTATCTTTTGGAGCTATAATGTTTTGTGATTTTAGGATGTTTGAATTTGAATGTTTTGTAAGAACTTTGAATATTTTGTAATTTATATGGAGATTCTTTTTATTTTCAAGTACTTTCAAATAGCAAGTATATGATTTTGGCAAGTAACATGCCGAGTCAAGTTACTTGCAAGTCGTATGATTTTGGACGAGTACTTGATTGAGCAAGTACTTGATTCGAACAAGTCAAGTATCAAGCCGGAATTTTTGTTATTTGAACAAGCCAAGCCGAGTTACAAGTACTTGAAAATTAGCAAGTACTCGGCTTGTGCCCAGGCCTACTAATATGTGCCAAGTTCTGTTACACCCATTCGAATATTCTATTTTATGCTCTGTTTTCAAAACAGAGAACTCTGTTTCTTTGCTCTGTACTCAGGTTAATCTATTTATATTCCAATCACATTTTTATTAAATTTAAAACATGAAGCAACATCGATAAACGTAATCAAATTTTCATGAATCAAATAATCAATTACCCATATGGGAAATAAATCTTAGAAACTCAAAAGAATAACTGAATCAAATCAACAAATAATGAGATAAAAATAATTTGAATTTTCTCGGTAGCACGATCAGCCGAGGTTGCATTCTGCAGGCAAACCTTGAGGGAACCTCTTGAAATCCGTACAATAGTTATAGATCATGTATTCATCTTGGAACCACTTCATTTGTCCAAGCTGACTGGAGCTAAGCGTAGTCCACATCCACGAGTTGCTGTTCGCATTGCACGTAACCCAATTCCATATCGAGGTCCGGCTACAACAATCCACATCGCTGAAACTCCTGTAGGAAGCGCTGAATGGAGCATTAGTCCAATCGGTCTTGACTCGACCGCCTTGTGTGGCCCAATCATCAGCTTCCCATAGACTCGAGTAGATCTTCATCGGCTGGCTCTTTGGGTAAGCCACGCCTTTAGCCTCATTGTTCTTGAACACCCGGATTGGGATTCCATCGACTAGATAGCTGTTGATATCCCATGGAAAATAATACACAAAATCAAGAACCGAAACAAGAATAATTATTTAATCACATTAAGCTTCTAGAAATCGATTTATACTCAAAACGGGTAAACATCGAATAATATAGTTGTAAACATTTTTTTTTTTTAAGTAATCAACGTTGAGACAGCCCAAACTGTTTGATTGACGTCTAACGAAATTTTGAACATTATATTGGACCGACCGGTTACTTACATGATGTTGAGAGGGTTCCAGTGGACGGTGTAAGTGTGGAAATCCGCAGTGGGATCGAACCATAGATAGAACTGCATCTCGCGGTTACCTATGCCTCCGGTAAACACATTTGTATGAAGAACATAAGGCTGTCCGGTAACATTACCTAAGAACTCGAAATCGATCTCGTCCCATTTCTCTCCTTTCGAAGAAAGCTGTGAAAACATTCATAACATTAGATTCAAACTCAAAACCATCAATGTCACAAAAGAAACAGAGATAGATGATGTATACATACATAGTAAGCAGTGACGGTCCCGGCTGAGTTCCCGGCGACAAGTTTCATTTTCATATCGATCTTTCCGAACAAATACTCTTTCTTCGATTGAAAACCCGAACCAGAGATCTTGTCGAGAGTGCAAGTCAAGAGCTGTCCACTCTCGAATATGTTGGCACGACCATCTCCCCAAGTGATATCGAAGTTGTTGTAGAAACTTCCCGTGGATAGGCCGATCAAGAGCAGAAGAGACAACAACAACAGAGATTGTTTGGTCGCAAAAGCCGCCATTTCTTGAATGGGTTTTGCTCTGTTGTTGTGTTTAAAGTAGTTGTTTTGAGATGGTTTGAATATGATCGGAGATTGGTGTTTTTATAGAGGCTTTGGAAATATGAGTGCATTTGAGAGGTTCGTGGAGTCCATTATCGACGTGGTAGTCTTACACTAACGATTTTTATTTATTATTATATGATTGAATTATGCCAGATAATAAACATATATATAGTCGTTGAACTTACAAATAAATTATACATATATTTAACAAAATTTTATTCTTTGTTTTTGTTTTGGCCATGCATTTAGCTCAGATTAATAGTTTGTTTCATATAAATAGATTTTGAATCGAAAAGATTTTTAGATATTTTATCCCGTAAAAGATAAATTGATTTGCATTTTAGTTATTTTTTTTTTTTTTGAGAAAGACATTTTAGTTAATTTGTTTAGTCATAAATACTCAAGCAATAACTGGAAATATTTGTTTTGGTTTTGGTAAAATGTCCACCGACATGTTTTTTTTTAAATTTAGGACGGACATGTCCGCCACATATATAAGAATTGTCACGCATTATACTTAGTGCAACTACGTGAATTATACTTCGAATCTCTCACATTCTTTGAAAAAAAAATAAAACAAAAATCAGTATATTCATTTCAGGTGGATAAATCTCATTCAATCCTAGTAAAAAACACTCAATAGTTTATTATGGAATCAAACTGATCACCAATGGGTATAAACTTTATCTAAATTTCCTCTGCTCTCTTATTCATTTGCTTTCTTCTTGTCTGTAACCAAATTTGGACATATCTCGAACTCTCGAAGCTATCTTCCTTGTTTTTTTTTTTTGAAATTTAAAAGAACAAAAGTTTAGTTAACACAATATAATTTATTCATTTGCTTTCTTCTTGTCTGTAACCAAATTTGGACATATCTCGAACTCTCGAAGCTATCTTCCTTGGTTTTTTTTTTTTTGAAATTTAAAATAACAAAAGTTTTAGTTAACACAATATAATCTTCCTTGTTCTTCCCATCTTATTTCAAATCCGTATAATGCATATTATTAAGAAAATATATATGACCAAACATTATTCACGCCCATTTTATTAGGAATATACACGCAGAAACAGAGGAACATGTTTAACATAGACCCTAGATACACATGACGTTTACATATATAACATGGAAGAGCCTATATACTACTAGCTTCGGAGTTTCGGACCAAACATTAATTAACTTCACAAGTCCTGAAGCTAGTGAAGTCTACACTCCTTTGGAAATCCTTGAGGAAACCTTTTGGAGTCCGTACAATAGTTGTAGACCATGAACTTCCTCTGCACCACTCTCATCTTATCTTCCGCTGTTAGGTCAAGCCTTTGAGAGAACCATCTTGGTGAACTCGCAGGACAAGATGATTTCCCGCCCGACGAAACGCATGCGTCCGCTCTAAAGTTTCTGTAAGAAGCGGTGAACGGCGCGTTGGACCAGTCGGTCTTAACCAGACCTCCCCGTGTAGCCCACTGGTCTGCGTTCCATAGACTCGAGTATAGCCTCATCGGCTGCATCTTCGGATATGGAATCCCCCTATGTTCTAGATTCTTGAATTGTCTTACCGGAATGTCATCAACCAAGAAACTGCATCAAAATATAAAAATGAGCAAATAAGGACTATTGAACTCAGAATTCGATGTTTAATGGCAGTATATTTACATTTCGTGGATCAGCTCAAGTGGTGGGAAAAAAAACCGTAACCG